AAATACATTTATTGGTATGAACTCTATAAGCAGATAGTTTGAACATAATGTTTTAGGTTGGGAATAATTACAAGTGACATTAACAGTCCCTGAATAGCGCCATCAGACTGAGTGTGACAAGGAAATTCACACACTTCTGGGGGTGCATGCCCATGGTGCCAAACAGAAAGCATGGCCCTGTGGTGCCAGGCAGTCAGGCACTGTTATGGGGAGCCAACATATGGTGTGGAGTTGAGGAGATAGAGAGACAGAATGTTCATGTGCTGTGGAGAGAGGCATATCTGAAGAGGTAAAGGCGATGAAAAGCAGGCTGAGGTGGGTGACTTCATTGCCATTCAAGGCCATGGAGATGTCTGAGCCTGGGCTGCTGCCAGGGCCTATGTCTGGGCTCACAGCCCTGTTTCAGCTGCAGCCCGTGTTGCTGTTTGTTGAAGACTGAGGATAGAATTTTATAATAGATAAAGTTGGCCCCACCCCTCACTGACTGCAATAATAGGGAGGTCTGGTCCTGCACTTCATTGGCTGTAGCACTCTGGAGAGCACATCCTACACCTAGCCTTGCCAGCACAGTAGAGTTGACCCTATTCACAGCCTGGAGGAGGCAGGAGCTGGTCCTCAGGGGTGAGAGTGGGACAGCTGATACCCTCCCTCTCAGCTGCTGGGTGGTGGTAACGAGGGCATGGGAACGATGCCCCCAACCCCAACCCCCACCCCACCACCTATAGCAGTCAAGGGAGTTGACCCTTCTCCCTTACCAGCTGCAGCACTTGGTAAAGTGGGCCCTGCACCTCGCCTGCACAGCATAGTAGTACTGACCCTATTGAAAGCGCACGGATAAGCCAGCCCTGAATGTATAACCATGTGAGAGTCATCTATCAGGTGGCAGTGTGAGCAGGAAGCTATGCCTCCCCCTTGCTCCTCACCCCCCACCACATGAAGCAACACTCAAGGAAGTGGTCCCTGCCCCTCTCCTGGGTAGCACAGTAGAGCTGACCCTGTTGGCTGGGACCCGGGTGAACAGGCCCTAGATCTGGTCCTTCATTTGTCATATGATGGCAGGGCAAGAGACAGAGAAGCCCCCCCCACACACACACTCCTTGTCATTTGTGGAAGTTAGGAGAGCTGGCCCTGAGGTCACAAGAGTAGGAGAATATCCTTGCCCCACACCAGCTGTAGCTCTTGGGAGTATGGCTCCTGCACCTCACCTGGGCATCACTGTAGATCTGGCCCTGGTGGTAAAGGTATAGGTGAGTTGACTCTGAGGGCATAAGCGAGTATAACCTCCCCAGTCCTTGATTCTTGCTGCATAGGGGTAAACTGCCAGGGAAATGCTGGAGAATTCACCCTGGTAGTGAGGACAGGCGAGAGCTGGTGGGCTGACCAACCCTTCGAATACCCAAGATCAAAACCAAGATTGAGTTGTCCCACCTCAACATCCACCCCATCAAGGATCTGCTGAACCATGAGAAAGAGCACATCCTGCAGAATCAAAGCTGCAGGATTTCTGTGACTCAGGGCAACCACTGGATATCCAAGAGGAGTACCGGTGAGGTCCCAGTGTCAGTGGTGTGGCAGAAACCACAGGCTTCAAACCAGACCAATGACTCTCCGTAATGAACACTTACACGTAAGGATATGTGGACAAAGGGTATAAAATGTATTACACTACAGCTTCCATGGTGAGATTTTTTTTTTTTTTAAATTTCTCTTAAATTTTATTTTATTTTATCAGGAGGAGGAGGAGATTACAAAGGCAGAGGGCAGATACAAAGAAGCAGGGAGATGAGTGTGAATGCGATGCATAATGTGAAAGATACAAAATAAATACAGTTTTATAAAAGGACATTAACAGCTAATTTAGTTGATTGGAACACAGCTGGAAAGATGGTGACCAATTATAAGCAAGTTTTAGGGATGTCTGATATGAACTGAGTTACAACGGGAATTTGAGGTCTGTATTCTCCTGGGCATGGTCCCTGTCTCCAAGGGCTAAGGCCTTTGGCCTCAGACTACACCACAAGCTTCCTTGATTCTAGAGACTTGGAATCTGGACTAATCCACACTAATGGTGTTCCAGCATCTTCATCCTGCAGATTCTTTCTCAAGTAGCCTCTGTAAACATTTGAGTCAAGCTCCCTAATTGATTCTCTCCTATACATCTCTCACTATTGTAAGAAACAAGACCCCCCCCAACTCTCTAATAACAAATTCAAGACACCTCAAGTAGCAAAAGCCTGACAGTTCTATTTTTATTTCTGCTGAACAAGTCACCAACAGAGAGGCCAATGAAGCTGACAGGAATTCAGTATGAAATAGTGTTTTTTATAGTCCTAAACAGAATCCTTTGCTCTCTCTCTCTCTCTCTCTCTCTCTCTCTCTCTCTCTCTCTCTCTCTCTCTCTCTCTCTCTCTCTCTCTCTCTCTCTCTCTGTCCTTGGCTGGGTGCTTCTGGGGAACAATCTCCCCAATGTCTGATACATCCATCACTCTAAATTTGTTTAGTTTTTTTTTAGTTTAAGTTCTATGCTCTGAAAACTCAAAATCTTATCTATTGTACATCCTGGAGCTCAAAAGTATGTCTTCCTTCCTGATACAAGCGCTCAGTCATGTAGCAGTCTGTAATGTTTTAGCACTAAGATAAACTAAGAGTACCCATGCAAGCAGACACCAGCTGCTAGAAAAGGCAGGGCCCAGTGTCTCCTGCCTATTTAAAGTCTGGTACATTTACATCTATCCATAGACCTCTGATTTAAGGAATTTTTCATTTATATTTTATTTCTTACTCCTACCCATCTCTCATCGCCTCCTATTGGTTGTGTCTCTTGGATAAATCCAGAATGATATAGGCTCACCAAGAGAAGCCACTTTATCAAGCTTGTATAGCAATTGAGGTAGCATCAGTATTATCAACTAGTAAAACATGACCATGTGCTGTTTACCCAATTATTTAACAAAATGTGATTGGTAGCCAGTTTTGCATTCTACTTTCTGCCTCCAGTTAATTACCCAGTTCCACTGGGAAAGGATTGAGGAAGAAAATACCAGAAATTGTTCTTTGTCCTTGGCATCATTTAATTAATTGCTTTAATCTACATGATGCTTTTTGTAAGATTATGTTTCTTTATCCTTGAGAACTTTATGAATGTGTACAACAAAATGTGATCATGTCCACCCTCAATTTTCTTCCTCAAAATTTCCCTCATATTCTCTCAACTTTATTTGCAAGCACAGAAATCAAGTAAAATAATTATGATTTATTGTATAAATGCCAGCTGAATTATTCATAAGGATATCACAAGTGCACTTTGCTACTCTAGTACATGGTGGGAAGACAAACGGTGAAGCAAGAAACTGTGGCTGTGTGGACATATGAAGATTTATAGAGGTGTATGTAAGTAGTTTTTCCCCACCGCCGGTCAGGTCCCACTTCTGTGCCAGCCCCCACCGAGACTCTGTATTTGATATAATTCTGTTGGCCTGATACTTGTTTCTTACCGGCTAGCTCTGTCTTAATTATTACCCATTTCTATTAATCTAAGTATTTCCACATGGTCTCATCTTACTGGAGAGTGAGGCTTGGGTCTGGTCTCCCCAGTCTCTCCATGCTGACTCCTCCTTACTACTTCCTTGAATCCTCCTTGTCTCCTAGTCCCGCCTATCTTGCTTTCCTATTGGCCAATAGTGCTTTATTCATTAACCAGTATGAGAAACATATTTACAGAATGACATCTCCCATCAGGTGTGCCCACTGTGTTCTCTGTGTATGTTCAAGGGGCAGATAACTGAACCATCAAACAGATTTTTCAATGTCTGATTGGGTTCTGTTAGCTAGGTTATGTTATGAACTTCTTTTTGTTTCTTTTAAAAATCTAAACAACAACAACAACAAAGTCATTTTCTCAGCTGTTTTTCTTTACTGCCTCCTATTCACAGTCTCTCTAAGCACTTTTGCAAATGTTCTGGCCCTCTGCCCACACAACCCCAACCTCTCTTCATATTTTGCATTCATTTTCCCCAAGACAGCATGTACAGTCTCTGGTGATTAATTATTTTCTCTTTGTTTAACTTTCTCCACCATACACTACCTGCTGTCTGTTTTTTTTTTTTTTTTTTTTTTTTTTGTACTTTGCTTTTCTGACCAATTGTTATGCTTTCTGGATTTGATCCTTTCATTCCCCCTTCTAAGTATATGAGTTTAACATACATTAATTATATCTCAAAATAATCAAAATAATTCTCCTAGCATTTTTATCTTCTTTATTTAATAATGATCTCTCATAACCATCTCAGAATTAAAGCATAGACTAGGTTTATATATTTAGTTTGCCTCTGATACTCTTCCACCATTCAGATTTCTATATTACTGCTTCCCTTCCTGGCAATGTTATTAATATTCAGTCTTATTAAAGACTCAAACACTCAATATACCAGTCAAATGTTATCTGTTTAACTATCTTTTGAGGTGTTAACAACTTGAACCAATTTCCTCTTTGATTCTTTGATGTAGGATCCTGTGTAGCCCAGATTGGCTTCTAACTCATTATGTAAAGAGGCTGGCCTTGTGCTGGGATTCTAGGCATACATGCCCAGACTATCGACATACATGAACACTTCTTGCCATTTCCATTGACTGCTTTTCAATTTGTCTTCATCAATTTATTTATCATTCATCACATGTGTCTAGCTGAATGGTATATACACTCAGAATGCCCTTGATTTTGTCTATCCATCATATTAGACTGAATGACTTTATAACATTCCCTATTCTCTATTGGTAAATACCACTGAACAATTACTATGCTAGTGAATGTACTGATGGGTCAGAAAATATACGATTTTTGTAAAATGTTGTATCTTTGAAAAAGCCATTATTACTGGTGCTCAAAATATTTCCATATAAAAATTATATATCATGTTAAAACACATACATAAGTAGGGGTGAATAATAGTAGATGTATATCATGTCCAGCTATATCTGTTGAGAATTCTATGAACAACTAAAAAAAAAAAGTATTACCTGATTTTCTAAGTTTAGTTAATTTCTCAGCCTACTTCCTCCTTGTTTTCTTTTTGTTCATGGTCGTAGACATACAATAAAAGCTAACTAATTCCTTGATGGCTTTTCAGAACAAATTTTTGTAAGATTGTGACACAAAAAACAAGAAACTTGGAGTGGATGCTATCCACAAAAGGGGGATATTTAGAGGATCAAAGGCAGCCTACTAAAACATTGGCATGGGAGAATAATGGTAAAACTGACAGAAAGTGGAGCAAACTAATTTTTCCATAATTTTGTAAAAGTCTTTCAGGATTCTACTATGAATTGAACTGTTCTGGTCCCCTAATTCTTAAGAACCAACCGGAGAAGGCATTTCCCCTTTGTCTTCCAACTCACTGTAAATTGGTGAATAAACATTTAGTTCTTCATAAAGACGATCATCTGTGACCTGAGAAAGAGAAAAACCATACTGTATCAATTACTCAGAACTTTCCATTTCTAGAAAGTTTATCACATGGGAATCTCTTCTTTTGTCTTTTTTGAATTTCACCCTACCTCTCATGACAGTCAAATTATTCCCTTAACGTCTAGAAACCAACTCAGATGGGTTGACCAATGGGGGCTAAAAGAAACCGTGTCAGTGACAAATTACTAAAGTTGTCTGTATTTGAAATGGTTTATCTTCTGACTCAGGACAGTGGTCATAAGAAGTGTAGTGACTGGAGTGTGTCTAATGGACATAGTAAGTTCCATATGTCAGAATTAAGTTAGTATCGTGGCTAAGAATTGGAAATCCCCGTGAAGGGTGTAATGAATGAAATGCAGTTGTCACCATGAATCAGGAGGGAAAGAAAACTCAAGGCTTATTTAGAGCAATAGAGAGGGGGAAGAAAAATTACATGGTGGAGGGGCAGAAACAAACAATCTCTTTGGGAACAAAAAAGTAAACCCTAACACATGATAGTCTCCATCACACACCTCACATGTGGCCCCTTCAAAGCACCCACAATTTCTATAATTATAAAGATTCCATTTGTGGCAGAGCGGGGGGACAAGACCAGGCTGCAGAAACACATAGAGGTAGCTGACCTGAACAAGGAAGAGCTAATGGGCCCCCAGACTGATAGCTGGGAATCCATCATGGGACTCAGACCCCCTTGAACATGAGTCTCAGCTAGAAGGCCTGGGCAGTCTAAGGAACCTCAGACAGTGGAACAAGAATGTATTCCTGGTGAACAAAAGTACCTTGGGGGGCACACCCCCCTCATTGAGGGATACTACCTTAACCTGGAGACAGGAGAGAAGTCCTAGTCCCTACCCTACTCCAAATGACTTGACAATGCAGATGACCCCTCCTGGAGGGCATCACCCTACATGTGGAGTGAGGGGATGGAAGGGGAGGGTGGTCAGGGGGCATGAGAGGATGGGAGACAGGGATAGAGGGAAGGAGGGAGGGAGGGATGGAGGGAGAGGGAACTGGAATTGATATGTAAAATAAAAATAAAAATAAATATTCCATTTGTGTAATCCTCAAGGAACTGTGCTAAGAACATGTGCCATTTCAGTATCATAATAAGAATTCCAATATGAGATATGAAATCCTGTTGTTGAGAAAAAGTTTTTCAGGAAAAACATTCCAGAAAGTTCAGGCCATATTTTAAAGGAAGAAAGCACAAACTCTTTAACATCCTACTCAGGGCTTGCTACTGACCTTATTACTCTTGAATGCTTCTCCAATCCTATAGATAGTGAGCAACACAGCACTACAAAAGGCCAGCATGGTGAGGAACAGCATCATCGACACAATTTCCTGTCAGACAGCAACCAACCAACAGGCGAGTCACAGACAGATGTACCCCAAATCCCTCCCCTTACAGAAGCTCCCTCTTTCAACCCATCTTGGGAGCACATCTTATAAACTGAAACATGCATAGGAAGCCAGGAGGTGACTACTTGGAGATGATGACTCTAAGCTTAAGGAATGTAGCCAGGAACCCCTCAAAGTTCATAGCTCTATATTGTGATATGGAAACTCAAAATGGGGGATTGTGTCTCTGGAAAAGAAACGGGGCTTCACACTTAGGTCAGGACCCAGAGATGTTGTGCTTTCACAAGCGATACATACTGTGATGAAAGCAGTCACAAAGCAGCCATCATCCTCATTTAGATCCTTACAGTATTTCAGATAGGCAGAATTGTGGCTCAGGTTGAGAATCAGTATGATGATCCCTATTCCTGCAGCAATGCTGCTGATAATGCTTGCTCCCAGGCTTCCTCTCACCTGCTGGCAGAAGAACATTCAGCTCTGGGGCTGTGTGGCAGCAGCCAGTCAACTGCTCTGTCTTTCAGAGCTGGTCCTGCACAGTAATTCAAAGCTAACTAAACCTCCAGTTAACTGAGGAACTCTTGCAAATGTACTCATCGTCTGGCAAGCATCCCTTCTCCTCTGAGATGCCTTTAAGAATAACATGAGGGCTGGGGATATAACTCAGCAGTGGACCACAGGCTTAAGCATTGCAGAAGGTCAGGGGCTCAATGCAAAGCATGAAAAAAGAAAACACAGCCGGCTGTGCATAGTCTATTCTCAAGCCATCTTTGTGGGAAAGTAATTGCACAGCCATAAGACTATTTAAATATGTATGGGACAATACCTGTGTGGGTCCCATTTAAATAGTGTCAAGACAATCAAATTTCACTGCTTATTAAGTGACACAATTTGTGTTTCTAATGATTTTATCTAGCTTTTGCAAAAACAAAACAAAACAAACAAACAAACAAACAAACAAACAAAACCAAAAAACCTTCAAGCACCAAGGAGGTAACCCACATATATGCACTCTGTAACTCAGCTGATACTGGTGGGTCTTGCTTAACGCCCCTGAAATTCCACTTGTCTCCTCTTGGAATAAAGGATAAAAACGTAACTGTGACTCACCAGATACAGGCTGTTTTTCCTTTCAGACATAACTGACAAAAATCCAGACAAAACAAACTGTTCAAAAAGAAACAGGAGAGAAAGGAAAGTGAGTCTCTGCTGTCCGGGCCATTCCTTCCTCTGCTCTTGAAGTACAAGACTAAGCTTTGGACCCTTCCACGAGACCAGTACTTATTATTATTTCCTATAAAATGCTTCTCAAAGTCATCTGCTTATACGGACCATGAGAATGTCCTGAGAAAATGCAGGGCCTGAACTGCGTTTCGGGCACATGCCTGTGATCCTGGCACTCCAGAGGCTGAAGAAGGAAGGAGCCTGAGCTACTCTGTGAGAAAAAGAAAAAGAAGCATGCAGACTCTTACTTATTAGGCCTTAAACGGGACCTGTGCTCTTCGTTTTTGCAAGGCTCCCCTGCGAGGTTGACTTTGATACTTCCTGGCTAGCAGCATCTGGTGTAGAACTGCAGTAACAGTCTCATTTGTTTTAATGTTTTGTTCATATGTCCTGTCTTTCACTGTCAGCTCCCCCAGGCCAGAAACCTGTATCCCTGCCGTGCATACCTATGGAGTCTGCTCAGTAGCACATGTCCATATAGTTATTACATATTCCATAATGGAAATATGGAAATATTTAGTAAAAGTAAAAATTCAGAGCACCTTCTAAGAAACTGAGATTTGTGTATCCAGGTGGCACTTAAATCGCTAAATATTGAGCCTATGAGATAATTCAGCAGGTAGAGATACTTGTAACACAACACAGGCTCAATGATCTGAATTCAGTTCCAAGATTCCTTAAGGTAGCAAGAGAGAAATGACATCCTAGGATTGTTCCCTGACCTCCAAATGAGTACTGTGGTGTGTGGTGTACACATACACAGAGAGAAAAAGAGAGGAAGGAGAGAGAGTAAATAAATTTTAAAGCTAAAAAGAAAGTTCAAGGAAAAAATGGTAGATGATCAATAAGATTCTTGACCAAGTGACCAAGAGATCTGCAAACTATATGCTTAGCAGCATATCAAACCAATGTGATGCTTTTCTTATATTTAAATATATGTTTATAACTGAATTATCAATAAAAAGTAATACACAATCATAATATGGAATAAAGGAAGACTCGAGACATTGTAGAAATTCTATTACTACAAAGTTGTAAAAATTGAACACTAACTTTCATTTACAGTGATTGCTTCAGGGAGCACAAAGACAGGAAAAGTTGTAAGAGTGCAAATGTAATTTTTCAAAATCAGATAAGCTCATTAAACTGAGGGTGACATATGTGCGTGTGTGTGTGTGTGTGTGTGTGTGTGCATGCACGTGCACGCATGAAATCAAATTTTACACCTCCTATTCACAGAATTCTTCTTTTACACCTCCTAGTCAGAATTCTTCTGGACACAGGATGTGCTCTCATTCAGCCACCTGCTTTCTAGATAGCAGAATGTTTAAAAAGGAATCCAGTACATTAGTGACCAAAAGCATGTCAAGGGATCAACAAATATCCATCCAGTATTGCTAACATTGTTCTCACCTGGGCAATATTTCCCCCTTCCTTCTTAAAGACAACCTTTTGGGCTACTGTGGAATTTTTTAAGATTTAAAAAAATTTATCTGCAAGTGTCTGCAAGCATGTCTGTGTATGTGTATGCCATATGTGTACAAATGCCCAAGACTAGAAGAAGGTTCTTATCCCCTTGAGCTGGAATTACAGGCAGTCATGAGCACTGACATGGTGCTGGGAACTGAACTCATGTCCTGTGGAAGAGCAGCAAGCACTTAACTACCAAGGCCTCTCTCCAGATTTAACTTAGCTTTTACTAATGGATAAAATATATGTACTTAGCATGTGGTTTTATTAATAATATTAACAGCATCTTTTAGAAAGCAAGTCTTAGGAAAATCATTTAACTTCTTAAATACTAATGTATTGTTCTTTTACAATTTCATGCACTCTCAACTTTTTCATTCAATAAATGTGCTAATGGTTTAAACCACATCTAAGGGTGATTTGGAAGCACATTCCCCATAGAGGGATACTCCCTTAACCTAGAGGCAGGAGGGAGGGCCTACTCCCTACTACAAATGACTTGACAGATTTTGTTCATCCCTCCTGAAAGGGACAGAGGGAGGGATGGAGGGACAGAGGGAGGGAGGAAGGAAAGAGGGAGGGGGAACTGGGATCGATATGAAAAATAAGAAAAAATCTTTTGATCTTGTTAATGAATATATATATATATGTATATATATATATATGAAGAGCTGAAGATTTTATCAAAGTGCTAGAGAAATGTGGTTAGACTTGATCAAAAGAGAACCTGTGACCAGAATTATTTCAGAAACAGCTACAGATATGTTCTCACCAGCACTGCTCCCCAGAATGGATAGCCTGCTCTATACGACAGAAGCACTTCATCATCAAAGTCTGACATGTACACTGAGGAGCAGACAATTGTTCCAAAACAAAGGCATACCAAACCAACCAGAATTTGTGTTACCTGCAGAAAACATGAATTTTATAAAGTTAGGATATATTTTTCAAGACTGTCCCAGTTTCTCTGTGAGATTGAAAATGAAAAAAAATCTCTTTAGTGTCATAGGTCTTTCTAAGATTGAAACAGATGTGAGATTTTCTTCTATCTTCTGTTAACTATATTTTTTTAAAAAAAATGGAACCATGACTAGTAGGCTGTACAGCATCCATGGTCAACACATGTCATTCACATCTTTATTTACATAGTTACGATGGGCATGAGTAATTGTTCTTTCTAATTGACAACAGACATTATGTACCTATCCTTCATTTCTTTTCTCCATTCATGTCCCAGTAACTTCAAGTCTTTATGAGAAAATGCTTCTCTCTTCCTAGAATGTGCAAAGTCTACCATCAATTCCTCACTTATCAAGAATGTGACAGGACCTACATCACTTCTCATCATCCCACAAGAGGAAATGTTAATATAACCAAATACTCTTCCCTAGAGGCAGCCTGAATTTGAGTTGAGAATGGAGGCTAGGCACTCACCCCCAGGAACTCCAAATCGCTCTTCAAAACTGTCTGCCATGTCTGCTGTGGTGGGGGTGGTGCTGGCTTCCCTGGCAGAGCTTCACCGGCAGGAGATGCTTCCAAGAGCTCAATGTCAGGTGCACTGAAATTTACAAACTTTCAATCATGTCAACTCCCTTTGTGAAGCTGTCAGAACCTAGAGTGTTATTTGTTAACAGTTTCTCAAAAGAAATTAGAAGTTGAACTCTTTAGTGTAGTGCCTTAGAAGAAGGTGCCAAGAGTCAAAGCAATCAACCGAAGACATTTGAATATTATTCAAGTGTTTACATAGAACAAAAGAGAAGAAAAATTATGCCTCATGCTCTTCTTCATCCCAAGTTGTCACAAGTTCCTTCTACCAATATCTATCTATAATTAAAACAAAACCAACCAAATATGTTTGTCAACTTCAAAGTCATTTTAATATAGAAACATACATGCATTTATTTTGTCAATGTGCACAACTTCAAACCCAGAGGATTCAATCACCATTCCTATTTTAATCTTGGGTGCAGAATTCCATGTCCTAAATTTCACAAAGCTCAACCTGGAATGAAGTCATCATAGAAAGCCTCTGACCCCACACATCTGACACAGAGGCAAGAGATCTGTATGTTCAAACTCCCTGTCTAATACTCCTAACTACAAGTCTCTAATGTTAGAAAAATCTAGTATTCCCAGTTTTCAAGCCGAGTTAAAAAAAAAATACCTTGCTGCCAATTGCTGAGAGACACTAATAATGTATACTCTACACAATTAAGTAACTTACTTGAGCTTGTGCATAAATCTATGAATTGGCATCTGTGAATTTCTCTGTCTTGATAAATAACTTCAATGGAAAAGCAATAGTTTCTGCTTACCTGGGGGATTCTTGTGGATTTGGGAGAGCAAGATCTGCTCTACTCTTATTTTCTGCATCCATTTTTTCATGAACTGAGCTAGCTAAGAAGAAGGATACTGTTATGTGGAGATGTGGTGTGCTCTGGGTGGGCAGTTAAGATAGACTGACTCTGAATACAAATAGTTATCTTCATACAGATAAGTCTCCCAGATGACTGATATCAGTGGTTCCTTTATCTTTCTGCAATGAAAAGTAATAAGACTAAGACATCTGCAGAATAGAGAGCAAGATGGAAAACATACCCACATTTTAGAGCATAATTCCTGCCTGAAGCATGGGGTTAACGGAACCTAATATTGAAATGTCTAGGCACTGAAAAGATAAAAGAAAGCAGAGGTAAAACAGGAGTGCTCTTTAGAAACTTCATCTGATGTCCCTATGTCACAAATTCTTCAATGTGATTTTTGGTGTGGCCTCAAGGCTGAAATGTATGTATTAACACTAGTCTCAATTTCTAAATGTATCTCTGACTACACATCCTCTCTCTTCCCCTTCCCCTCCCTCTCCCCCTCCCTCCTTCTTCCTTGCCTCCTTCTCATCATATTCTCCTGTCTCCCTGATAATATTTGCTAACTGCAGCAAATGATCATCAAAGTGGGACACACAGAATGAACCATGGCTTAAACTAACCAATGAACTATTTGAATTAAGAAATATACCTTATCTGAGTGTTTCCTTGGTAACTGCTGCAATCTTTATAGTGAGAAGAACAGGACAAGGAAAACATGGAGGAATGTGAACTCATATATACAAATGTTAAGAGAAAATCTGAATGGTGAGAACTGGGCAGTATGTCTGCCCAGACAGTTTTCACCCAACTATATCACAACTAACTATTCTAGAACACAACAAACAAGAGGTCTGCCTTGCATATATTACAGTTTAATTCTATGCATGGTTTTTTTTTCTTAACTGCAAGATACTCTGCATGGTGCCCTAATCACCTGAGCTATTTTCTGGGATATAAAATGTCTCAAGGGAAATTAAGATATATATATATATGATTCTAATGTACATATTGCCAGCTCTTTCTTAACAAAATTTCACTACCCCAGCTACTTTCTTTTCTCTGTATCTTTGGGAATTATCACATCTAACAAAAACATTGTACGTCCCATCTTCTTATTCATTCATACCGAAAGGACTCAACCTTCTTGCTATTAACTGCTCCTATCATGGAGAAGACACTATTGAGGACCATGATCCCAGACTTATCTAGCCCACAGTATTATAGATGAGAACAAAGAAAAATGATTATCCGGGGAAGTCATAAGCCAGCAACTGCTAGAAGGCCAAGAAAGTTACAACAGTGCTGCCTGACGGAGCATGCACAGAGTTCAGAGACAGAATTGTCAGGGACAGTGATATTTGAGCCCAGCCTTAAAATGGTTAGCTTAGAAATCACATTCCCCTACCCAACCTTTACAAAACCACTCCTCTGCAGGGTAAAGTCCTGAAGCAATGCAATGGCCCTTTACAGTCTCCTAGTAGCATATAAAGGTTTATGTTCAACACAAAAAGTCAGGAACCCTATCTGAGATCTGGACAGGTAACAGATGAGGGTGCCACTTGTAGCATTTTCACTTGTGTCATGAAGTTGCTGGTACAAAACTTATCCAATTTTGATGTAGGCACTTACTGTAATTACATTTTAGAATGGAAACGTGCTTTCATCTTTTTTTGAATTCAAAACAATTTTCATATTTACTTAAGATATTTTTTTCATTTTGCATGCCAGCCCCAGTGCCACTCCCTCCCTTCTCCTTGCCCTCCACCTCTCCTCTTCCCACCCCCCATCCACTACACAGAAGGGCTAAAGCCTTCCTTGAAGAATTAACAAAGTCAGGCAAGGCCTTCCAGGTTTTTTTTTTTTCTCTTCTTAATGTGAGCATTTATTGCTATATACTTCCCTCTAGAAATGACTTCATTACATTCCATAGGATTTTGTATGTTGTGTTTTAATTTTCATTTAATTATAAATGTGTCTAATTGCTTTTTGATTTCTGTATTGATGCAGTTATTATTCACTATTGAGTTGTACAATATCCATGCTTTTGTATATATTTCTATTGTTGATAGCCAGCTTCAGCTCATGGTGGCCAGATAGGATGCAGAGTGTTAGTAAAATATTCTTATATTTGTAAATAAATATAAATTTAGAAAAACAAACTGAGTGTATCTTTCCATGTTGGAACATGTTGCTATGTGAGAATTGTAACAAACAGCAACTCATGAAGTGCAGATTCAGTGCTGAAAGGTGACTTGTGACCTCCCGTATTTCACACCCCAGTGTTGATCAACAGCTTCATTCTTCCCCTTCCTGAGATGCTTAACCCATTCTGTACTCACAGCCCAGTTCCCCACAGCCATGTTCCACCTTCCAAAACAGCAAATATCAGAACATATGATCAAATGACTTCCTTTGGGACTGGGCACTTATCAAGATGAGCTTTAACTGTATGTCTGTCTGGAAGGAAGAGATAACAGTTAGCATTTCCTCCCCACTACACAGCATTTCTCCTTTAGCACACACTGGCTTTTCACATGCCTCTTACTCTGGCTTTCTCTTTGACTATCAAGTTTCTTCATTCAGTTAGTGTAGGGTGAAAAGGGCCAGGGACAGAAACACCCTGCCTCTAACTAGACTGGAGACTAGGGTCAAGAAAAAAACACCCTGACTCATATAATCCTAGGAGCGGGGGCTTAAAATCCCACCATTTCCTGAGCTTGCCCAAAAATCAGGCTGCTGAATCCCACCAATCCCTAAGGTCCCTGAGCACAAAACCTCACCAATCCCTAAACCCCAAATCCCACCAATCCCTGAACTTGGCCCAGAATCAGGCTGCAAAAGTTCACCAATCCCAAGCCAACATGGAAAGCTCTACTCCCCCAACCCCAGAAGAAAAAAAAAACAGTAGAAGATCTGTACCCTGTTCAATTTGCTGTTGCTTCTCACTCTAGAGGCATCTACCTCCTGGATTCTTCCTTCCCAATAAATCTCTTGAGTGAGGTTTGTTGTGTGGCCAACATTTTTGCCAGAGCAGAGCCCTTCTGTAACAACTGTTGCCAGAGCACAGAGCCAGAGCAGTGCTCAGCAGGGAAAAACGATAACACTTTCCCTGAGCAAAATTTGCTCTACTACAGCAGAAGTGTTATACTCTGGAAATGGAGAAGAATAGAATGGAGCAGAGTTTTAACACTTTCACCGTGGAAACTTTCCCCTGGGAGAGTTGTACTTAACATTGGGGAAACATTTTCCTAGGGCAGGGCTAAAAGCTGCTACACTTACAGTGACTGTGGTATTCCTTGGCTCCTGACTGCCAGCATAGTTTTCCATCTGAGCTGCAATGCTTACAGTCAGAGCCTAGATTTTTTTATTATATTTTTCTTACTTTTCACAGAAAGGATTTTCATCATATATTTTCTCCACCCCCCAAGTCCTCACAATCCTCCTTACCTCTTGACCCACACAACTTCATGTTCCTTCTCTCTCTCTCTCTCTCTCTCTCTCTCTCTCTCTCTCTCTCTCTCTCTCTCTCTCTCTCATACACACACAAAACAAAAAATAAAACACTAAAAATACACACAAAAATTCAAATAATAAACATAAAAGGACACACAAAAAACAAGCAAACAAACAAAACCTGGAGCCTTTTTGTATTGGCCAGCTAACACTAAGCATGGGGCCTTCCCTGGAGTGTAGTTGATAGCCAGTGTCACTCCATTGGAGAAAACTGATTTTCTTTCTCCCAGCAGGTACCAATTACCTGGGTGTGTCCCCAAACTCAAAAAGAAATTTATTTTTAAATCTCTCATGAGCAAATATTTTCTCAAAGTAAATGCTAATTTTATGCACAAATTTTCATGTGAAAGGTTTAAGTCAGGTTATCTTTAGAGGGTATTTTCTGGTACCTTGCACTAAGGAATTACAACCTATGTCTGTCTCATCTCTCATCTCCCCTTTCCCACAATTCCCTTTCAGCCCTTCCTTCCTGTCTTTTATTCACATTTCTATTTCTTAGAGCCAAGCCTGGTTTTAAAGTATGTAATTAAGAGGCCTGGCAAACTGGTACAGATGCTTTTTATCATACTTCAGAGCCTGGTTTCAATCCCTGGAACTCAAAGGGTGGAAGGAAAGAATGTAATCCACAAAGTTGTCTTCTGACCTCCATGTTCACACCATAGGTGTAATCACACATGCTCACATAAAAACAGAAAAAAAATAAAAGTTTTTATACATACCCATATATTATATGGTTTAGAGTGAAACAGTTTAGACTGACATCAAACTCCAGTGTTTCATAGGAAATGTGACTACAGAAATGGCTATTGGACAAATGGCTCTAAAAGTTCAAATGCCAAGTGCAAACTTTCAGGAAAAAAAAAAAAAACCTTCATTTCTTTATCCCTATGCCTTCAGAGATGTTCAGCGCAAGATTCACCCAGTTCACTTTGGCTCTAAATTAGTTTCCTTGAATCCTCCCTATAGGATTTTGTCTTGTATAACAGCCCAAGGTCAGTTAACTACTAAGGTGATTTTCTAAATCATACTAATTCTTATCTGTCTGTCCAGATACCCTCTGTTACACAAAATGGTACTTTTCATTAGAAAAGTAATCATGAATCATGGTTGTCCTCTAATAAATAAGAATCTTTTTTAGATTCTATGCTGTTATAGTGTTACTACTCTTTTGATAAATTTCTATTTAAATTTGAAACAAGCTTGTTTTACATGTCAATCCCAGTTCCCTCACAGTCCCAACCTCCCCTGTCCAGCCACCCCCCCATCAACCCCCATATCATCCTCTTTCTGCTCCACAGGGAGGGTGAGCCCTTACATGGGGAATTTTCAAAGTCTGTCATATCATTTGGAACAGGGCCTAGGCCCTCCCACATGTGTCTAGGCTGAGGGAGTATCCCCCTATGTGGAATGGGCTCCCAAAGTCCATTTGTATACTAAGGATAAATACTGATCCACTACCAGAGGCCCCATTGACTGCCCAGTCCTCCCAACTAACACCCACGTTCAGGG